GCGGTAAAGCATCAGTGAATCGTCTCGGTGATTTGAGATGAGATGATTTCCAACTCGTGTGTCCCATCAGCACATAAATTGGCTGTGGTGGAGTCGCAGTTCTTCATCGCCAAACACGACCTGCGATTTAAAGTCCTAAACATTGGGGGGGCACAAATCCTCCCAAGGAAAGCCTTTGATGCTTATAAGTTAGCTCAACTTTGTATAAACTGCTAAAGTGCGTTTTGGCAGGAAGAACGGAGGATTGCTGCACCAATCTCTGTGAACGGACTCGCAGAACGGACCATCGCAAATCCGCTCGGATCGCGCCACGCAGATCAGCTCGGGCAAGGGTGTTTTTCGAGTGTGCAGTGTCTCAGATCACAGCAATTCATGCGAAGCAATTCACGGTTTCGACCGAGAAAAGACAGTTTCAGCGAGGTGCTTGAAGACGACACATGGTTCGCCATTGATGAGCATTTAGACCAGGTGCGTCATTCAACTGTACGGGGTTTTCGAAAAAGCCTCTCCATCAAGCTAGCGGTCTGGAAGGTCTGCAAGGTCTGGAGACATGTTTCTGAAAAGCAGACACCTCTCTTTGGATTAAACAAACACCTCTCTTTCGTCCCTGGTCCAATGGAAATCCTTTCAGACCGCTCCGGTGATCTTGCGCACGGATGCGCTACCCTTCGAGATCCTTGGACCGATCCTTCGATCAACCCTTCGATCAATCCGATCAGCTGTGAGCGGCAGCCCATCCGTGCGCGGTGCCCTGAACGTTACCTCACGAAACTTGACCATCGACATTAACATGAATGTCCAAACTTATGATTCTCAAGCACCTGCTTGTTTCCTGGAAAAGTGAAGAAAAACAAAACATTCTCTGTAAGATCTTCTGCAGCTATGGAACCGCTTCAAATAGGCCTTGGGCAATTCTGACAGGGTGTTTCAACCGCGTGAAGCTGTCAGAGGCACCATGTTCCTGAAACATTTTCTGGTTGCCCTACTTGCATTCGTTTGCTTCTGCTCTCGATCTGCGGATGATCAACCCTTGGTATCTTGAGGCAAAATCGCCCAAAGTTTTGTCAGTAGTGAGGGTGGAGTCAGCAACACCAGGGAACATGAGGACCTGTCGCATACTTCAGAGCACAATAAACAGGCAAAACAAGTTGTGTCAACTGACGAGTATTTACATATTATTGAATCAACCAACCAAAATTCAGAAATACATAATCACCCAACCTTCCCTAAGGAAGACTCGCAATCGACAAAGCAAACCAGAACAACTGTCACGCCTCTTTACAACCCCATACCTGCGTGTGAAACGTGCACCTCGAGAGCTAGGAGTGCTTGGGATCGGGCAAATGGGAGCCACCGCGCGGAGGCCTTTTGCAGTCTTTGCACACCCTCGATACGCTCCACGCATCGTGGTAGGCCAACCTTAGGTAGTCATAGCATGTCAAAAAGTGCATGCTTGGGTATCAGTTTGTTTGATACAGTACCCAACAAACAAGATGTATCAACAAACAAAACTGGGAAAAAAAAAGCAAAAAAAAAAGTGGTGCAAGCAAAATCAAGGGAGCACATCTAATGCGATGAGACAAGCGAGAAATGCGGACGGGTTTTAGATAAAATGTCTGGGGGATCCAACGGGCATCATGTCACAGGTGTGCAGCAAGGTCCGCAGCTCCACATGATCCTTGCAAAATTGCTTCAAACCAGTTGGAAAATTCATTCAAGTTGCATTATGATGCTCTTCTGACCGGAAAACTGTCAGCTCCAAGATTCGTATCAAGTTGGACTAAGTGCGGCTAAGTCCTGCCAATTGGCCACCAAAGAAAAGCAAAGTGCAGCTCAGTCTTCGATGATTCGGACTCTCAAACTCTCCTCCAGTATGCCCCTGAAGAATCATGGAATAAGGCTCTCCCTCGGGGCCAAGAGCATTCAAAACGCAGAACAAATCCAAACGACAGGTCTTAAGTCTCAGACAGTTCATTGGAAAAACAACATGGCAACTTCACCCTGCTACTTCTACGGATGCACGGCTTTTGGGGTTGCGTAGAGCACACATTGCCAGAGATCAGAGCCAAGTTGCTTCATGCAGCTTGAGGAACACATCGGCAGTGTAGTCCTTGGCGAACGAACATCCTCCCCATCCTCCCTCCGATTTTGAGGCTGGGGCGTCCAAAAACCAAGGCACCGAATTCAGATCTGAAATCGAAGGGCTCGCTGCGAAACTCACATCATCAAGGTCGCATCTGCCTTGCACAAAGATCAAATGCGACTTCGAGTGAATTTGGGCAATCCCATGGGAGACCCGCAAAGATCCTCAACATTTCGTGGGGAACACCTTTTCTCACGCATGTCCACGTGTCAAAGGGGCCTTCCAAAAAGGCCTGTCAAAACGGTGTTTCTGTCAAACGCAAAAAACTATTCCCCGAAGCGACCCATTATTGGTACCAGGAGACGCTGGAGTAGACACCCAACCAACAAAGGCGCTCCAGACAATGCTGAGCAAAGTTCCATGGCTCACAAGTCAATGACTCTTGGATGCCCAAGCAGCAACGACGAAGCGACTTCGTGGCGCTTCTATTTGAAAAATGGACGCCTGCGATCTGCCGAACACACGATCTGCCGGTGATCTGAACGCACCCTGCACCTTCCGAGAATCAGTGAGATGAAAGTATGTTCAGTGCTTTTTTGAGGGGCACAAACCCTCTTCGAGCTGAAATTGCCATGGCACATTCAGAGTTGAAAACTGCACCTTCACGATTTTGCATCGCAGAGATCACAAAGACATCCGAAATCACCATGTGTTTGCTGCGAACGTGAGGCATTGTTTATCAGAAAACAATTTTCTCCATTGCTGTTCTTCTGCTTGCTGCTCTGCCATACTGCATGCCCAAAGCAAGGTAGTCGCTCTATTGCCTCGAAAAAGGCAGTTTGCACAAAGGAGAGCAAAGAAAAGATTGTCCAACTAGGTCTAGGTCGCCTGCCATTCAAACTTAAAATTAACCCAGCCGCGCAACCCAACAAAGGTAGCAATTCAACTGACTTGAATTTTTCACACACTCCAACTATGTGTCGCTGAAACTCCAAGGCGAACCCAATCAATTTGTGAAATCTAAAGTGAGCTGGGGAGCAGGAACTGGGGAGCAAAAACGGGAGGAAGTGGGGCGGAAGGAAAGCGCATCAGAACTACAAAAACGTCGTTCCCAGCACAAGACAGGTGTGTTGTTACAAACCCCTGCCTCACTGTTGGTCTTACGAAGTACTACTGCCGTACAAGTGAATGGATGTGAATGGTAATTCAGGCAGAAAGCACACCACAAGTGCAAGAGCGTGTCGCCTTGCTGCGTATAAAACGCGTTTAGCGCCGCGTAGACTAAACGCTTTGCCACAAGATGCACTTGTAGTGCATAAGTTGTTTGCTGGTGCAGAAACCCTGCTAAGTGCATGCACACCTCACACCCCTGTTCCAGTGCTGCGTACAGGCCAGCTTTATGGTGTGTAGAAAGAATGCTCCGCGACAAGGGCAGGAGTCACACTACAAGCACAAAAGCTGTCGGTCCAGGAACGCCCTGCTAGGTGCACGCAACTGCCTGTGTCATTGCTGCGCGTAGAAAATGTGTCCATTGCGTGTAGAAAGTGTTTCGCAATGAGGGCAGGACGCACACCACAAAAAGAAAGATTGCTTCGTAGCGGTGACAAATGGCACCACCACAAGCAAACAAACTGCCGCCGTGCCCTGCTAAGCACCCGCCATTGCCCGTGGCATTGCCCCACGTCTAACTTAGCCCTTTCATTTGGTGCATAAAAGGTGTGCAAAAGCTGTTGCCGGCGCAGAAACGTCCTGCTGGTCATGCGCAGCTGCGTGTGGCCTGCCCGCATACGACTTAATTTCCGCTGCGTAGAAAGACTGCTTCTTACCAGCGGCGCAATTGAGAATGCTGCTGTGCAGATGAGATGACCTGCTACGTACACGCAACTGCTTGTCGTGGCAAACACGCGCGTAGAACTCTACCAACGCAAAAGCTGTCGCCGGTGAAGAAGCGTCCTGCTACTACGAGCGAACAAGCTGTTGCGGTTGCAGAACGCAACTGCCTGTGGCACTGCAAGGCTTATAACATTTTCATTGTGGCTTGTAGAGTGAATGCTCCGCAATCGAAGCAGGAGGCGCACGACAAGTGCAAAAGCTGTCACGGGCAAAAAAGAGTGCCAGGTATGCGCAACAGCCTGTGTCCTTACTGCGGGTACGTTGTGTTTGCGCTGCTTAGCAAAAATGATCAAAAATGTCCTGCTAGGTACATGGACCTGACGCGTTTTCCAGACGGCATTCTGAACACAGCACCAAGGTTGTCCGAATCCTGTCCCGGGCCGAGAGTGAGGCTCAGACAATTTCTGGACGACTTCTCTGACAAGGGTCTGGTAGGATCGAGACAGCTACATCGTCGCAATATACCGCTTTGAATCAACCTTGTTGCTTGCTGTTTGGGTTTCCGTTCGCTATGACCCCCCGAGGTGTACAGCCAATGCGATTCCTGTTGAGATTTATATACCTCCGCACATGATACAACTGTAAGCTTCCTGTCGGAGGTGGTTCGATGCCTTTATCTCGGCACTTGAGTACAGGTCTTGTCTTGTTTTATCCAAAATATATTCAGTGTGACACGTTTTAGCTTGCCAGATGAAAGGCTTGGGGCAACTTTACGTAAGCTTGTTCTGTAACTAGGACCAAACCCAATGTACCCGAGCTTCATCATTGAAGGGCACGGGGCACCTGGATGATCACACGTTGGCTGTGGACCAACTGTTTCGATTTTGCTGCAGGGCATCACCCTGAAGGGTGGGCAGGGATGGTGACCCACCCCTTCGGCGATAGATGACGTTTTGTTGAGTGTGTGGTGCCCTTCGACAGAGCAGTGACAAGTTACAAGTTCCGTTTGCCAAGCAACAAGCAACCAATGTGCGACTGGTATCACAAAGCACACTGGCTCATGTTGAGGCTTGGGCTGACCAAAGACATCTCCCACCAGGACCAATAACAAGGCTAAACGTGGCCGTGCCTGCAGAACTGCTGCCTTTAACAATCTTCAGCTGTACCTCCCTATCCCAAGTGATTCAGCCGTCCGGATTCTTCTTACAGCATGTTTGTCGTGAGGCAGAACAGATTCGCTTCCTTCCTCCCAAGGCCCATGGTATAAAACATCTAGGACTTGCCAAAATAGATGCTCAACTTCCATGGAAGACCGAAATGTCTGTCTTGGACGGCCCAAGACCAGTTCCTGCCGTGGCACAACAAGGGGTGTTTTTAATAACTTAATTGAACCAGAACGTGCTTCCTCACTCAGCGAAAGGCGAGCCGCAGACTGCCATGTGCCTCGGACTCGGTTGCAGTGACCAATCTGCAGCAGTTCCGCCGGAGTCTTTGTAGCTGGTATTGGATGTCATCCTCGGCATAGGCGTTCTTCAGGAAAGCTTTCCGACAGAGCCACAAGAATTAGTTTGGATCCTGAAGCCTTACATTTGACAAAAACTACCTTTCCCATTCTTCCTCTTCTCAAACAGAAGCAAACTCTGTGCCACCTTTCTTCAGTTCCTTCAGTTCCTTCAGCCTCAGATCGGTGCTGTGAGAGGTTCCTCCAGAAAGGCCAAGGCAGCGAAGGTCCAAGCAACGCTCAAGTCAAGCCCTGGCCCGGCCATTTGTTCGGTGTTGGATCTTGCCCACTACCCAGCTGGGTTTGTTCGGTTGCTAGCTCATCTACCGGGGACGGTGATCTTTCAACTTGAAGCTGCCCAAGCGCCTTCCAACTCCAGTTTTTCACTCTCGGATGTCCTCAGATCAATCGTTGACACGCTGTTGATTGATGCGCAGAGTGCTGCATGTCGAGATGCTCGTAGTCTGCCTCGATCTTGTCGACTGCCACTACCTTAAAGCCGACTCATTTGAGGCACAGATCTCAGAGTTGTCGAAAACTGCGGTTGTAAGAGCTGCAAGTGGACACCCTTCACAACACACAAAACAAGTCGACCATCTCCAGGTCTGAAACCAAGTCGCGACTAAGTGGTTGATGGAAACGAAGTCTTGTTGTGAAAGCAAATCGAAGCAGGGCTGATCTTTGGCAACATGCCGCCGCCATTCCTGGCACTTTTTGGGCAGACGTGCCAGGAATGAGCTGAAGGATGGTATCGGCCAAGCTCACGACCTATGGAATCTGTACATGACATGCATTCTTGTGAAGAAAGGCATTAAACAAAACATACATCCGAAACCTTTCAAATGCCTACTGATGTGTGCTTGCTACCCGAGTTATGAGTAGCATTTTGTGATTAGGACATGCTAGGGCACTTTCCCGGCATTTGACGAAGGCCCTGTCCTCATAGGTCAGAGACTGCGGTGGTTCCTTTGGCCGGGAGTCTTGGCAAAGCTTCCGCAGGTGTCGGAAGGCCGCAGCCGTATCCTCCGCCCACACCTGCGCCGTTGCCGTCGTTGCTCCATCTCTCGGTGTTTCCCCGCAGTCCTCTTTCTATCAAAAGGAGCAATGGGCATCTCTACTAGCGGCTCCTGGCATCGCTACTAGGAGCAAGGACGCTACTAGGGGCTCCTGGCCTTATATACTACTAGGAACAAGAAGCTACTAGGGGCTCCAATAGGAATATCTTGACGGAATCGTGGTGGCATTTTCATGCCCAGTGAGCTTAGGTTGAACATCTTTCAGGAATGTCCTAAATTTACCACCAGCGCTTCAAAGGCTTCATGGATTGCCCTGTGTCTTCACATGCGATGTCTTCACCGATGTCTTCTCATGGGGCGAACTTCCCCGTCTCGCCGCCCCCAGCCCGTCTCGCCTGGCTGTAGAAGTCCTTCGGAAGTTCCGGCGTTTGAAACTGAGCCAAGAGCCCACCTCTGCCGTCGCGGCCAGTCAAGGGGCCGCCCACCTGACCGACCAGTCGGGGTGGTGGTGGGTCATTCGTTCGTGGTCTCGTTTGGGTTTAAAAAGAAGAAAGAGAAAAACGATGAAAAACGTGTGTTTGACAACAAAGGGGCCGCCTTCTGCTTCGACCTCCGTTCTTTCACATCGACATCCATCACCTGTGATCAAACAATGTGATCTTCATGCTGCTTTTGCGTGCCTTTGATGTCTTGAGAAGGATGTGGAAACTCTTGGAGGGATCCATGCAAAGCTTCAACGATCTTTGCCTGTGGGCAGTGAAGGCGTTCCCACTGCACTTGCCGCAGGTACTCGTCGGCATCCTGAACTGCAAGATTGACAAGTGCAACATCCTTCCGGATGGAGGCCATCCATGAGGTTG